TAAACTATTTTCGTTTTTTATAGGATTCTTTTATTTATATTGAAATCAAAATGTTATTAAAATGTTTTACAATTCAATCTTGATTTGCAATTAATTGTAACAAGTAATTAATTACTTCTGTAGCATAATGTATCTAGTGACCAAGTGTATATTAGTTTTTTTATTTATGTGTGTAGATTTATTTGTACGATTTCCCATTAACCTAGACCTTGAATTAATGTTTTGTCTTTTATAAGGTTTTTGTTTAACCAAATTATTTCCAGCAAAATGCATACGTTTTTCTTCTCTAATTACTTACTTTTCGTTGTTTTATAAAAAGAGTAATTTACAATGCTGCTGCATTTTTGTTTTATTATTTTTTTTTTTTTTTTGACTCATTTAATGATTCAGTTGTTCTTTCATTTGTTATAAGTCAATTTAAAATAAGTACTTTTGGTATTTATTTTTACTCTTATTAAGCAGTAAGTATGTAGATATTGTTAATAATTTTTGTATCTAGTTGTTTTGTTTGTATCAGTAATAAAAATAAATCGTGAGTTTTCGATTAGGCGCTACATAAATGGGAAGACATTATGGGTTTTGAAGATTTAAATTTTAAAATTTTTCAAATCACAATATTAGAAGAAGTATTTTACATTTGCTCTGAACTTTGGATTGGAGTGTATATAACTCTCAATTCATTAAGACAAATTTTTTAAATTTGAAATCTGTAGTGCTTGTAAAAGTCTACCAATTCCTCTCACATATATTTAACAACTTGTTTTCTTGTTCTAGTAACACTTCAATTTAATTATTATATTTTTTATTTTGCAAAATTATTCATTCATTCACTTGTTCATTTTGCATGAACCCGACATACATGTATAATTAATTTTTGTTTGTGCAGTTGTAGTGTCTCAAATCTGAATTTATTTACTGAAAATACACTGTAATGTGTCATTCTGATTTAAACCCTTATGTTTTCTTTATGATGATCACTTTTTTTGTTGAAATTAATTTTTAAAAAGCTTTGCTATTCATCTAAGCATTTAATTATTCTTTTGATTTGTATGTTAAAACTGTCAGTTTGTTTTTCAAGTTAATTTATTATAAACTTAAATTAAGCATTGTAATATTTTAATGTTTTGAATTGAAATCAAATAAAATCAGCAATTAATATTTAGGGAGGTACAGTTACAAAATCGAAAAATTTTTAACAACTGAGGCGTATGAGTAATATTAATTAACAAGCAACTTAGAAAATACCTTTTTTAATAGATTTTTCAACCACTTCTTTAAAATTTTGCTAATTAAATGTCAAGCTAACAAATCAAACAATTTTAGCTTTATTTCAAATTATATAAATTCCTTCACATATTACCCACTACAACCTAATATTGTTAATTACTCTCTCTTCTTTCTTTACTTTGATCTTTATCATAAAATTTTCTCTAATATTTGTATGCCCTCCCTATTATTAAAATTTTTTGCTCATAATTTTTCATCCAAATTGATATAATTTTATAACAAATTATTTGTAAATAATTTTTACATATAATTAGTTTTCAAGACGTGACACACCCTTATAAAGGAGAATTATTTACATTTAAAGTATATTTTAATATAAATACTTTATTAAGGTATTGATGATTATTTTTTGCTACATTACACTTAATGTATTGAATTCTAAGTGGATTAAATGGAATTTAATTTATTGAAAATTTTAAACACCTGTAAATATTTAAAGGAGGATTCTATTAAAAGTTCCCACGATTGTTGTTGAAATCGCCAGAAGATGTGTGAAAAATTTAATTAATATCAAATGACAGGGCAAATTAACTAACTGGAATTAAAATGAAACTAAAGCTTATAGACTAGATATAGATTATAATAGACTAGACTATAGACTGGACTAGACTTATCTAGAAAATAGACTGCAGGCTAAACTATAGACTAGACTATAGACTAGACTATAGAATTGACCATAGACTAGACTATAGACTATAGGCTAGAATTTAAACTAGACAATAGACTAGATTATATACTAGACTATAGGCTAGACTATAGACTAGACTATAGACTAGACTATAGACTAGACTATAGACTAGACTATAGACTAGACTATAGACTAGACTATAGACTAGACTAGACTAGACTATAGACTAATAGACTAGACTATAGACTAGACTATAGACTAGACTATAGACTAGACTATAGACTAGACTATAGACTAGACTATAGACTAGACTATAGACTAGACTATAGACTAGACTATAGACTAGAACTCTACACTAGACCTCTAGACTAGACTATAGACTAGACTATAGACTAGACTATAGACTAGACTAGACTAGACTATAGACTAGACTATAGACTAGGACTATAGACTAGACTAATAGACTAGTGAACTATAGACTAGACTATAGACTAGGATTATAGGACTAGACTATAGACTAGACTATAGGACTAGGACTATAGACTAGACTTAGACTAGACTAGACTAGATATAGACGTAGACTATAGACAGACTATAAGACTAGACTATAGACTAGACTATAGGCTAGACTATAGACTAGACTATAGACGAGACTATAGGACTACTATAGACTAGACTATAGACTAGACTATACGACTATAGACTAGCTAGACTAGACTATAGACTAGACTATAGACTAGACTATAGACTAGACTATAGACTAGACTATAGACTAGACTATAGACTAGACTATAGACTAGACTATAGACTAGACTATAGACTAGACTATAGACTAGACTATAGACTAGACTATAGACTAGACTATAGACTAGACTTAGAACTAGACTATAGACTAGCAACTATAGACTAGACTATAGACTAGACCTATAGACTAGACTATAGACCTAGACTAGAGACTAGACGAGAGACTAGACTATAGACCTAGACTATAGACTAGACTATAGACTAGACTATAGACTAGAACTATAGACTAGACTATAGACTAGACTATAGAACTAGACTATAGACGAGACTATAGACTAACTATAGACTAGACTATAGACTAGACTATAGACTAGAACTATAGACTAGACTATAGACTAGACTATAAGACTAGACTATAGACTAGACTAGAAGACTAGACTATAGAACTAGACTATAGACTAGACATAAAGCTAGACTAGAGACCTAGACTATAGACTAGAACTATAGACTAGAACTATAGACTAGACTACTATAGACTAGACTATAGACCTAGACTATAGACTAGACTATAGATATACTATAGACTAGACTATAGACTAACTAATAGACTATACTATATACTAGACTATAGACTAGACTATAACTATACTATGACTAGACTATAGACTAGACTATAGACTAGACTTTAGACTAGACTATGACTAGACTATAAGACTAGACTATGACTAGACCTATGACTAGACTAATGACTAGACTATAGACTAGACTATAGACTAGACTATAGACTAGACTATAGACTAGACTATAGACTAGACTATAGACTAGACTATAGACTAGACTATAGACTAGACTATAGACTAGACTATAGACTAGACTATAGACTAGACTATAGACTAGACTATAGACTAGACTATAGACTAGACTATAGACTAGACTATAGACTAGACTATAGACTAGACTATAGACTAGACTATAGACTAGACTATAGACTAGACTATAGACTAGACTATAGACTAGACTATAGACTAGACTATAGACTAGACTATAGACTAGACTATAGACTAGACTATAGACTAGACTATAGACTAGACTATAGACTAGACTATAGACTAGACTATAGAGACTATAGACTAGACTATAGACTAGACTATAGACTAGACTATAGACTAGACTATAGACTAGACTATAGACTAGACTATAGACTAGACTATAGACTAGACTATAGACTAGACTATAGACTAGACTATAGACTAGACTATAGACTAGACTATAGACTAGACTATAGACTAGACTATAGACTAGACTATAGACTAGACTATAGACTAGACTATAGACTAGACTATAGACTAGACTATAGACTAGACTATAGACTAGACTATAGACTAGACTATAGACTAGACTATAGACTAGACTATAGACTAGACTATAGACTAGACTATAGACTAGATTATAGACTAGACTACAGACCAGATTATAGACTAGACTATATACTAGACTATAGACTAGACTATAGACTAGACTATAGACTTGATTATAGACTAGACTATAGACTAGACTATAGACTAGACTATAGACTAGACTATAGACTTGATTATAGACTAGACTATAGACTAGACTATAGACTAGACTATAGACTAGACTATAGACTAGACTATAGACTAGACTATAGACTAGACTATAGACTAGACTATAGACTAGACTATAGACTAGACTATAGACTAGACTATAGACTAGACTATAGACTAGACTATAGACTAGACTATAGACTAGACTATAGACTAGACTATAGACTAGACTATAGACTAGACTATAGACTAGACTATAGACTAGACTATAGCTAGACTATAGACTAGACTATAGACTAGACTATAGACTAGACTATAGACTAGACTATAGACTAGACTATAGACTAGACTATAGACTAGACTATAGACTAGACTATAGACTAGACTATAGACTAGACTATAGACTAGACTATAGACTAGACTATAGACTAGACTATAGACTAGACTATAGACTAGACTATAGACTAGACTATAGACTAGACTATAGACTAGACTATAGACTAGACTATAGACTAGACTATAGACTAGACTATAGACTAGACTATAGACTAGACTATAGACTAGACTATAGACTAGACTATAGACTAGACTATAGACTTGATTATAGACTAGACTAGACTATAGACTAGACTATAGACTAGACTATAGAATAGACTATAGACTAGACTATAGACTAGACTATAGACCAGACTATAGACCAGACTATAGACTAGGACTATAGACTTGACTGTAGACCACGCTAGAGACTAGACTATGCAAAAAAACAAATGTTGTTAATTTAAATAAATTTTCTATTTATTTGAATCATCTTGTCTTATTAACAATTCAATACAATTTTAAAGCCTAAAAGTATGCAATAGTTTGTCTACTGATTTTTATATACAAATGTTAAATGAAATAATTTTAAATGCTGCGGCTATCGGCAACAAAATCTTCAGGGCTGACATTCTAAAATAGAAAATACATAAATAAGTTATTAAAAAAAAAACACATAAAAAATCTTTATCTACAGTCTAGTCTATTGTCTAGTCTATAGTCTGGTCTATTGTCTAGTCTATAGTCTGGTCTATAGTCTGGTCTATAGTCTGGACTATAGTCCAGTCTATAGTCTGGTCTATAGTCTGGTCTATAGTCTAGTCTATAGTCTAGTCTATAGTCTAGTCTATAGTCTAGTCTATAGTCTATAGTCTAGTCTATAGTCTAGTCTATAGTCTAGTCTATAGTCTAGTCTATAGTCTAGTCTATAGTCTAGTCTATAGTCTAGTCTATAGTCTAGTCTATAGTCTAGTCTATAGTCAAGTCTATAGTCTAGTCTATAGTCTAGTCTATAGTCTAGTCTATAGTCTAGTCTATAGTCTAGTCTATAGTCTAGTCTATAGTCTAGTCTATAGTCTAGTCTATAGTCTAGTCTATAGTCTAGTCTATAGTCTAATCTATAGTCTAGTCTATAGTCTAGTCTATAGTCTAATCTATAGTCTAGCCTATAGTCTAGTCTATAGTCTAGTCTGTAGTCTAGTCTATAGTCTAGTCTATAGTCTAGTCTATAGTCTAATCTATAGTCTTGTCTATAGTCTAGTCTATAGTCTAGTCTATAGTCTAATCTTGAGTCTAGCCTATAGTCTAGTCTATAGTCTAATCTATAGTCTAGCCTATAGTCTAGACTTTAGTCTAGTCTATAGTCTATGGTCTAGCCTATATTCTGGTCTATAGTCTGGTCTATAGTATAGTCTATAATCTAGTCCATAATATATAGTCTTTATCATAAAACTATAAACTTACTTTCCGATTTTTGCCATCCAACTTCATTATTATCCTTTTCATTTGCCTCCTTCAACCACTCAAACAAGGGCTTATAGTATTCCAATAAACCATTGATATTTAACTCCTCTGAGTCCACTAAAACTTTAAGGACCTCTTTAAAGCCCACCGAAGAACCCAAAGACATGGCTTTGCTATACGATAAAGTATAATATTAAAATCTCTATAAAATAGTTGCAGCTTTAAAACTTACTAAATCTTTTCACCCACTACATGATGACCAGTCAGGTCACACATATCTAAAGGTTTCTCGGGATCGCCCTTAACATATTCTCCGGTTAAAGAGCAAAAGTGTTCTAACAATTGATACTGCAAAACTATGCTGTAAATTTGGGTAGTATATTGATCATCCACTTCCATAAGTAATTTAGCGGGAGCATCAAAATCGGAATTTGATCGGGAAACAGGAGGTTCAGCTCCGGTATAGTCTTCAGTCAGACGCCAATAGGCACAGTTATCATTGATATCGATATGTTTATCTATAACATCCAAACGATAACGTTCCAAAATATAGAAAACAGGAATCAAGAAAATAGTGCGAAGACCCTGAGAAACAAAAGATCAATTAGAATGTTCTTATAAAATATTGATTCGACCACCTACATGCACATATAACCTATTGATACGGGCTTCTTTGGTGCTGTATGAAGAGTCTACTAATTTCAATCTCTCCAAATATTTAGGTGAAGAGGCAGTCAAAGAGAAGAATTTACCCAAAGCATCACTTAAATTGGGTATAGGTTCTTCTTGGTACAAAGTAGTAAGATTTTCATAGGCCCGGTAATAGTAGACATCTGACAAAGCCTCAAACATATTGAAAAAGGTGGGCTCACTGATGAGAGGACAATAGGAAAAGTTCACATGATTTAAGCCATAGAAAGACCAGGCCTTATGCCAGCAATGATCATCCTCTAAATCAGCTTTGGCCTCACAGCTGTCCTGCCAAAAGTTTCTGGAATTACAAAGAAATAATCAATGTTCTCTTGCTGTATAATTTCGATTTTACTTACTCCTCTAATGGCGGCATTCCCAGGGATCTAAAGAACTCTTTGGCATTCCAAAAGTTAATCTGAGCATTTGTCACGCCTCTCTTTAATAAACTATCGGTAATATTGGGCAATTTGGTCATATTGAAGGGTACATCCATAGACCAGCCTGCTTCTCCCAAATGAAAAGCATTGCCTATGAATATCTCCGCTAATTGTTGGGGATAGGGTTTATTGTATTCGATCAATTCTGGACCATATTTCAAACGCAATTGGCCTCTAATATAAGCATGAAATTGTACAAATAATGGCTTCAAATCGGACATTATCCTCTCCAAGTGGGTGGATATAGTAGAGCTGCTTTCACCAATATCCTTATGCCAGAAATCGGAAGGTTTGGAAAATCCTAAAAATTATGTATGGTTAAAATTAAACATGTTTTTCTAATGAAAAGTTTCTCGATATCGCAAGAAAACTGGGTCTTGACTTTCCATTCACACTCACCATTCATTTTCGCTGTCTTCCGATACAACTCTACAAACTTTTGAAAATCTTCCCTCGATGCTATGCCCGTCTTACGACGCCATTCCAACCAATAGTATTCGATTTCGCGCACATCATCGGTAGAGTGAAGAATATTTTGTACTTCGGGTATCAATCTTAAATCACAACGTTCCGGTTCCCTAAACGAACACAATTTAACATTTTTATAAATATCACTCATATTACTAGTGACAGCATAGAGCAGTTCCAAATCTTCTACGGGCAAAACCTCATAACCCACTTCGGGTATAAGAGACAATTGCCTTTTTAAATCTTTATTCTCCAAAGGTATTCTCTTGAATTTTGCCACTTTAGTAGAAATACTGTGTATAAAACGCATAATCTGTTGTGTGGCTATCTCGGACTGTAACATGGCTATGAGGTCATTGGGGCCTTTGATTTCATTTTGCCAATTGGCCATGACTTCTTTGTTGTAGAGAAAGGCTAGACGATGATTGACCGCTTCCAAAAAGTTGGAAACTTCCAATTCATTATCTGCAACATCGGCTTGACAACCGACTAGCAAGAGTAAGACTAGGGACCCTAAGAGTAGACAGCGTAGGTCCATTTTGGCAATAAACTGGAATAAAAAAAATTATTTACTTTTAAGTAATTAATTAAGAATATTTTAGATGCTTTTTAAATACTATTAAGCGAAAATATTCAACTTATTGAAAAAGTATAATACTAAAGACGTGTGATTTTCTTTAAAATAAACAACATAAAATGTTAATTATTTTAGTAAATATTTATTTTATTAGTTTAATATTTATGTCTGTGTAGCTTAATTCTTTTATTGGTGCGTATTTAAAGAAAATGGAATTAATCGAAATTAACACACCTGTGATTAACTCAAATTTTGCATTTGCAAAATTGAACTAGATCTAAACTATAAATGTATTTGAAAATATACAAAACTGAACTAGAACTCAACTCGAAATCAGAGCTAGAACTGAACTAGAATTGAACTAGAACTAAACTAGAACTGAACTAGAACTGAAATAGAACTGCACTAGAACTGAACTAGAACTGAACTAGAACTGAACTAGAACTGAACTAGAACTGAACTAGAACTGAACTAGAACTGAACTAGAACTGAACTAGAACTGAACTAGAACTGAACTAGAACTAAACTAGAACTGAACTAGAACTGAACTAGAACTGAACTAGAACTGAACTAGAACTGAACTAGAACTGAACTAAAACTGAACTAGAACTGAACTAGAATTGAACTAGAACTGAACTAGAACTGAACTAGAACTGAACTGGAACTGAACTAGAACTGAACTAGAACTGAACTAGAACTGAACTAGAACTGAACTAGAACTGAACTAACTAGAACTGAACTAGAACTGAACTAGAACTGAACTAGAACTGAACTAGAACTGAAACTAGAACTGAACTAGAACTGAACTAGAACTGAACTAGAAACTGAACTAGAACTGAACTAGAACTGAACTAGAACTGAACTAGAACTGAACTAGAACTGAACTAGAACTGAACTAGAACTGAACTAGAACTGAACTAGAACTGAACTAGAACTGAACTAGAACTGAACTAGAACTGAACTAGAACTGAACTAGAACTGAACTAGAACTGAACTAGAACTGAACTAGAACTGAACTAGAACTGAACTAGAACTGAACTAGAACTGAACTAGAACTGAACTAGAACTGAACTAGAACTGAACTAGAACTGAACTAGAACTGAACTAGAACTGAACTAGAACTGAACTAGAACTGAACTAGACTGACTAGAATGAACTAGAACTGAACTAGAACTGAACTAGAACTGAACTAGAACTGAACTAGAACTGAACTAGAACTGAACTAGAACTGAACTAGAACTGAACTAGAACTGAACTAGAACTGAACTAGAACTGAACTAGAACTGAACTAGAACTGAACTAGAACTGAACTAGAACTGAACTAGAACTGAACTAGAACTGAACTAGAACTGAACTAGAACTGAACTAGAACTGAACTAGAACTGAACTAGAACTGAACTAGAACTGAACTAGAACTGAACTAGAACTGAACTAGAACTGAACTAGAACTGAACTAGAACTGAACTAGAACTGAACTAGAACTGAACTAGAACTGAACTAGAACTGAACTAGAACTAACTAGAACTGAACTAGAACTGAACTAGAACTGAACTAGAACTGAACTAGAACTGAACTAGAACTGAACTAGAACTGAACTAGAACTGAACTAGAACTGAACTAGAACTGAACTAGAACTGAACTAGAACTGAACTAGAACTGAACTAGAACTGAACTAGAACTGAACTAGAACTGAACTAGAACTGAACTAGAACTGAACTAGAACTGAACTAGAACTGAACTAGAACTGAACTAGAACTAGAACTGAACTAGAACTGAACTAGAACTGAACTAGAACGAACTAGAACTGAAGAAACTGAACTAGAACTGAACTAGAACTGAACTAGACTGACAACTGAACTAGAAACTGAACTAGAACTGAACTAGAACTGAACTAGAACTGAACTGAACTGAACTAGAACTGAACTAGAACTGAACTAGAACTGAACTAGAACTGAACTAGAACTAGAACCTGAACTAGAACTGAACTAGAACGAACTAGAACTGAACTAGAACTGAACTAGAACTGAACTAGAACTGAATAGAACTGAACTAGAACTGAACTAGAAATGAACTAGAACTGAACTAGAACTGAACTAGAACTGAACTAGGAATGAACTAGAACTGAACTAGAACTGAACTAGAACTGAACTAGAACTGAACTAGAACTGAACTAGAACTGAACTAGAACTGAACTAGAACTGAACTAGAAACTGAACTAGAACGAACTAGAACTGAACTAGAACTGAACTAGAACTGAACTAACAGAACTAGAACCGAACTGAACTGAACTAGAACTGAACTAGAACTGAACTAGAACTGAACTAGACTGAACTAGAACTGAACTTGACTGAACTAGAACAGAACTAGAACTGAACTGGAACTGAACTAGAACTGAACTTGAACTGAACTTGAACTGAACTAGAACAGAACTAGAACTGAACTAGAACTGAACTAGAACTGAACTAGAACTGAACTTGAACTGAACTAGAAGAGACTAGAACTGAACTAGAACTGAACTAGAACTGAACTAGAACTGAACTAGAACTGAACTAGAACTGAACTAGAACTGAACTAGAACTGAACTAGAACTGAACTAGAACTGAACTAGAACTGAACTAGAACTGAACTAGAACTAAACTGGAACTAACTAGATGATTTACATTTCTCATGATATCGTCTTTAAGAGATGCGTGAAATCTGAAATTTTCACACCACAACTTGTTGATTACAAATCCAACGGAAATCCTTCATTAATGCAACGAAATCTAAACCTCAGTTTCATAACTTTAGAGTTTTCTTTATAAATTAATTGTAATTGTAAAAAATATGTAGTAACCAAACAATTGTAATTAAAGCCTAAACTACACCTGTTTGTTGGTTACAAACACAAATTAGCTTAAATCGTAAAACCAGTTAAATAATGAAAAAACGAAACACATAAATGAATAAATAAATATAAATGGTTACAAACAAATTATGCCATAATTCATTAATTATTATTTTTTATTGTTTCTTTGAGACCAACAGCTCAGTCTATTGTTTTGGTTTTTAAAATTATGAAAAAAACATAATTAACATTTCAAAGCATTTTAGTTTAAAGTGTAACAATTTTATGCAGAAATAAAACAAATAAATATCATTAACACAAATTCAAAATAAAAAACTGCGAATATTTAGGTTTTTAGCTTATAAAAGCAAAAATTTAAATGATTTCATAAATCTTCATTTAAAATTTAAATTCTTGTTTATTTTTTTTTATTTCAAACAAATTTCATTCACTTTCATTTGTCACTTGAAAGTGACCAAAATGTTGATGAGAAAATACACTTTTTCTTAGCCACAATTTTATTTTAAACATTTGTTGGTTTTTTTTTCACTTTTAACTGGGTACATAGTTTTCTAGGTCAATAACTTGTTGAACATAAGTAAATATTCTCTATTACCCGCTAGTAAACTTACTTAGACGAACGTGACTAGTTGTTGTATAAATTTGTAAATAAAATGTTTGTGTTTATTTTTCGAATTTTTCTAACTTCAAATATTTTTCAATTACCTCGCTTAAGCGTTTCTAAACCAAGACTAAAAATCCAATTCAAATGCTACCACCATCAAAGTATAAACCAGACAGAGTCATTCATTCGTTTTAGTCACTTTAAAAGCATAGAAAACCATTAATTTATTTTAATGATGGTTGGATGCATCCATCCATCCATTCATACGCTTATCTACATTCATAGTTACTTGTCTTTGTACTCGCTTTTTTGCTTTTTTTTTTAAATTCATAACTTTATTTGTGATTTTCTCTTTTTTTAAGCCGGCTTTTAAAACCAAAGCTAATCTTTAACCCAATCTCTTTTACTCTCTCTCTCTTGATTACAAATTCAAATGAAGAGAAATAAATATGTGATCGGTTTTATAAAAATAGCAGCAAATGTAAGTCAAGCCGAATACTAAATTATTCGGTATTAAAATAAAGAATAAAGAAAGTTTAAGAAAATCATTGATCACTATAACAGAACTAGAACAGAACTAGAACAGAACTAGAACAGAACTAGAACAGAACTAGAACAGAACTAGAACAGAACTAGAACAGAACTAGAACAGAACTAGAAGAGAACTAGAACAGAACTAGTACAGAACTCGAACAGAACTAGAACAGAACTAGAACAGAACTAGAACAGAACTAGAACAGAACTAGAACAGAACTAGAAACAGAACTAGAACAGAACTAGAACAGAACTAGAACAGAACTAGAACAGAACTAGAACAGAACTAGAACAGAACTAGTACAGAACTAGAACAGAACTAGAACAGAACTAGAACAGAACAGAACTAGAACAGAACTAGAACAGAACTAGAACAGAACTAGAACAGAACTAGAACAGAACTAGAACAGAACTAGAACAGAACTAGAACAGAACTAGAACAGAACTAGAACAGAACTAGAACAGAACTAGAACAGAACTAGAACAGAACTAGAACAGAACTAGAACAGAACTAGAACAGAACTAGAACAGAACTAGAACAGAACTAGAACACTAGAACAGAACTAGTACAGAACTAGAACAGAACTAGAACAGAACTAGAACAGAACTAGAACAGAACTAGAACAGAACTAGAACAGAACTAGAACAGAACTAGAACAGAACTAGAACAGAACTAGTACAGAACTAGAACAGAACTAGAACAGAACTAGAACAGAACTAGAACAGAACTAGAACAGAACTAGAACAGAACTAGAACAGAACTAGAACAGAACTAGAACAGAACTAGAACAGAACTAGAACAGAACTAGAACAGAACTAGAACAGAACTAGAACAGAACTAGAACAGAACTAGAACAGAACTAGAACAGAACTAGAACAGAACTAGAACAGAACTAGAACAGAACTAGTACAGAACTAGAACAGAACTAGAACAGAACTAGAACAGAACTAGAACAGAACTAGAACAGAACTAGAACAGAACTAGAACAGAACTAGAACAGGACTAGAACAGAACTAGAACAGAACTAGACAGAACTAGAACAGAACTAGAACAGAACTAGAACAGAACTAGAACAGAACTAGAACAGAACTAGAACAGAACTAGAACAGAACTAGAACAGAACTAGAACAGAACTAGAACAGAACTAGAACAGAACTAGAACAGAACTAGACAGAACTAGAACAGAACTAGAACAGAACTAGAACAGAACTAGAACAGAACTAGAACAGAACTAGAAAGAACTAGAACAGAACTAGAACAGAACTAGAACAGAACTAGAACAGAACTAGACAGAACTAGAACAGAACTAGAACAGAACTAGAACAGAACTAGAACAGAACTAGAACAGAACTAGAACAGAACTAGAACAGAACTAGAACAGAACTAGAACAGAACTAGAACAGAACTAGAACAGAACAGAACTAGAACAGAACTAGAACAGAACTAGAACAGAACTAGAACAGAAAACTAGAACAGAACTAGAACGAACTAGAACAGACACTAGAACAGAACTAGAACAGAACTAGAACAGAACTAGAACAGAACTAGAACAGAACTAGAACAGAACTAGAACAGAACTAGAACAGAACTAGAACAGAACTAGAACAGAACTAGAACAGAACTAGAACAGAACTAGACAGAACTAGAACAGAACTAGAACAGAACTAGAACAGAACTAGAACAGAACTAGAACAGAACTAGAACAGAACTAGAACAGAACTAGACAGAACTAGAACAGAACTAGAACAGAACTAGAACAGAACTAGAACAGAACTAGAACAGAACTAGAACAGAACTAGAACACAACTAGAACAACTAGAACACAACTAGAACAGAACAAGAACAGAACTAGAACAGAACTAGAACAGAACTAGAACAGAACTAGAACAGAACTAGAACAAACTAGAACAGAACTAGAACAGAACTAGAACAGAACTAGAACAGAACTAGAACAGAACTAGAACAGAACTAGAACAGAACTAGAACAGAACTAGAACAGAACTAGAACAGAACTAGAACAGAACTAGAACAGACTAGACAGAACTAGAACAGAACTAGAACAGAACTAGAACAGAACTAGAACAGAACTAGAACAGAACTAGAACATAACTAGAACAGAACTAGAACAGAACTAGAACAGAACTAGAACAGAACTAGAACAGAACTAGAACAGAACTAGAACAGAACTAGAACAGAACTAGAACAGAACTTGATTAGAACTAGAACAGAACTAGAACAGAACTAGAACAGAACTAGAACAGAACTAGAACAGAACTAGAACAGAACTAGAACAGAACTAGAACAGAACTAGAACAGAACTAGAACAGAACAGAACTAGAACAGAACTAGAACAGAACTAGAACAGAACTCGAACAGAACTAGAACAGAACTGAACACAGAATTAGGAACAGAAATTAGAACAGAACTAGAACAACTAGAACAGAACTAGAACAGAACTAGAACAGAACTAGAACCGAACTAGAAACAGAACTAGAACGAACTAGAACAGAACTAGAAACAGAACTAGAAACAGCAACTAGAACAGAACTAGAACAGAAACTAGAACAGACTAGAACATTAGAACAGAACTAGAACAGAACTAGAACAGACTAGAACAGAAACTAGAACAGACTAGAACAGAACTAGAACAGAACTAGACAGAACTAGAACAGAACTAGAACAGAACTAGAAGCAGAACTAGAACAAGAACGAGAACAGCAACTAGAACACGAACTAGAACCGAACTAGAACAGAACTAGAAACAGACCTTAGAACAGAACTAGAAACAGAAACTAGAACAGAACTAGAACAGAACAGAACAGAACTAGAACAGAACTAGAACAGAACTAGAACAGAACTAGAACAGAACTAGAACAGAACTAGAACAGAACTAGAACAGAACTAGAACAGAACTAGAACAGAACTAGAACAGAACTAGAAAGAACTAGAACAGAACTAGAACAGAACTAGAACAGAACTAGAACAGAACTAGAACAGAACTAGAACAGAACTAGAACAGAACTAGAACAGAACTAGAACAGAACTAGAACAGAACTAGAACAGAACTAGAACAGAACTAGAACAGAACTAGAACAGAACTAGAACAGAACTAGAACAGAACTAGAACAGAACTAGAACAGAACTAGAACAGAACTAGAACAGAACTAGAACAGAACTAGAACAGAACTAGAACAGAACTAGAACAGAACTAGAACAGAACTAGAACAGAACTAGAACAGAACTAGAACAGAACTAGAACAGAACTAGAACAGAACTAGAACAGAACTAGAACAGAACTAGAACAGAACTAGAACAGAATTAGGACAGAATTAGAACTAGACAGAACTAGAACAGAACTAGAACAGAACTAGAACAGAACTAGAACAGAACTAGAACAGAACTAGAACAGAACTAGAACAGAACTAGAACAGAACTAGAACAGAACTAGAACAGAACTAGAACAGAACTAGAACAGAACTAGAACAGAACTTGAACAGAATTAGAACAAAACTAGAACATAACTAGAAGAGAACTAGAAGAGAACTAGAAGAGAACTAGAACAGAACTAGAACAGAACTAGAACAGAACTAGAACAGAACTAGAACAGAACTAGAACAGAACTAGAACAGAACTATAACACAACTAGAACAGAACTAGAACAGAACAGAACAGAACTAGAACAGAACTTGAACAGAACTAGAACAGAACTTGAACAGAACTAGAACAGAACTAGAACAGAACTAGAACAGAACTAGAACAGAACTAGAACAGAACTAGAACAGAACTAGAACAGAACTAGAACAGAACTAGAACAGAACTAGAACAGAACTAGAACTAGAACTAACAGAAGTAGAATAGCACTACAACTGAACTAGAACTGAATTAGAACTAAACTAGAACGCATCTAGAACTGAACTAGAACAGAACTAGAACAGAAGCAGAATAGCACTACAACTGAACTTGAACTGAATTAGAACTAAACTAGAGCGCATCTAGGACTGAACTAGAACTTAACTAGGTATAACTTAACTACTACTGAACTAGAAACTAAGACAAATCTACGCAATAATGAGCAAAAAGTTTATTTGTTTCGAGATAGTCTGAAGTTTTTACTCCTTTTTAGACTGTACATTACTAAGTAAGCTTGTTTAAGGCAGTCAGATGGTCATACAGACATAAGACTCAGACTCGACTCAGAATTGCATAGGGACCCAGTATATATATACTTCGTTGGTTCTCAGATAAATATATCTTGATGTTACACACTGAGTTTCAAACTTATATATGCCCCCTATCAGCACTGATGCTGGTGGAGTGTATAATAATGATGTCGTAACTTCGCGTGTATTGCACTCCCCTAATCTACAGAAAACAGATGTAATTTGAAACTACTTAATCGTTTTTTTAATTTTAAAATTCTTTTAAAAAATTTTAACAACTAAAAGTTTTTTTTGAATTTCTTTTTATTTTAATACTGTTTTTTTTAATAACAAAAATGTATACTTTAAGTGCTTAATAAAATCTTTAAATAGTTTAAAATAGTTTGGAAGTTAAGACTACCACGTGAGGAAATTATGCTGAAACACATTCTGCAAAAAAAAAGAACAAAAACAAAATTAGTTTCTATCTCTAACAAAAAGATCAAGAACAAATAAAACTTACTATCCGATTTGGTCCAACCAATATGAACATTATTCTTCTTGTTTTCAGCTTCCAACCAGACACGCAAAGGTTCGAAATATTCAGCAATAGCCTTGCCAGTCATAGTGCGTTCACCATTGAAAGCTTCCAATGCATCAGGCCAGGGTTTGGAGGCACCCATGGACAACATTTTTCTGCAAAAAAAGAAAAAATATTAGCATTTCTTTAGACCTTAAACTAAATGGTCCACTTACTCGAAAGCTTCACCAGCAGCCAAGCTACCATAGATATCACAGTTATCCAAAGGCAATTCAGGATTGGTGGGATCATATTGACCGGCCTTAATGCAAGCAGACTTATAGAATTGGAATTGAATGATGAAGGAGACCAAATATCTCAAATATTCAACATCAGCAGAGACGTGGTATTTGGCGGGGGCATCAAAGTCAGATTCATTACGTACTACTGGAGGTTCAATGCCAGAGTATTCTTCACGCAATTTCCAGAAGGCACAATTCCAGTTGGACTTGTCTACTTGACCGCGGAACAAAGCCCAACGGTATTTATCCATGGTGAAGGCAAAGGCAAGAAGACGATCTTATCCAAGGCCTGACAAAAGATATATTAAGAAATGTTTCGGATCATTTAAGGGTAAATACTTACAGTCAAGAACAATTGATTGATGCGAGCTTCATCATCACGCACATAGTCCTTCAACAAACCAACACGTTCCAAATGTTTGGGAGTAGAGACAGACAAAGACAAAACATCACCAACAGCTTCATGGAAACCAGGATTGGCACCAGTACGATAGACGAAAGGTTGATGTTGGTATTGCAAGAAATATTGAATGTGACCCAATTCGTGGTGAACAGTGAAGAATTGATCTTGAGTAACACGAGTGCATTGCTTAATGCGCACATCATCGACCAAATAGAAGTCCCAAGCAGAAGCATGACAAACCAAATCACGACCATCGGTGGGTTTCTCCAAGATACTCTTGTCCCAGAAGTCCCTGTAAAAATAAATTTTAAACTGAAGACTATTGCAAACCGGTAAAGTGTCAACCAAACTTACTGAGGCAATTTCTTCAAACCCATGGAGGTAAAGAAATCATCACCCATTTGGAACATTTTCAAGGGTGTATAACCTTGTTTAACCATTTCGTTGCTAACATCAATCAAAGGCTTCTCAGGGAAGGGTGAAACAATATCGGCAATTTCAGACCATTGTTGAGCCCACATATTACCCAGTAAATGCATAGGAATAGGACCAGTTTCGGAAACAACATCATCACCATAGTGTTGACGCAAACGATAGCGCACATAACCATGAACTTGATGGTACAAAGGTTTAATATCTTCGAAAATATCTTCCAATTGTTGTTCAATGGTATCGTCCTCATATTCAGCCAACCACATTTCTGCGCCAGATTTGTATTCTAGAATTAAAAGTGAAATGGTTAAAGACCATTAAAGACAAATTTGCTTCCTACTCACCATTCAATTTAGCAGCCTTGGTATTCAATTCAATATATTTCTCGAAAGCGGTACGTGTGGGAGCACCAGCCTTATCGTAAAACTCACGCCAGTAGTATTTCAATTCCTCGGGATCACGGCTCTTGGTAATAACCTCTTCGATTTCAGGATCCAAAGACAAATCACACTTGGTCTCGTCCTTATAATCACAAACGCGTACCTTGGCAAAGTTCGATTCCATAGAAGACAAAGTATTCAATAGCTCAGCATAATCTTCTTCGGATAAAGCAGCATAACCCAATTTAGACAACATTTTGAATTGACGTTTCAAATCGTCCGATTGGTAGGTGCGCCAATTGAACTTTTGAATATCCAGGGAAACTTCCTTCATGTACTTGGCTACTTCGGCGGAAATTTCATTCTTCTTGCGTTCATTTTCATCGGTTATATTAGAACCATAAGCCCAAGAGGCCTCAGTCTCCAAGTTGGTACGTTTGGCGATTTCAGCATTAAGGTTCTTAAGGTATTCAGCAGCTGTGATTTCCTCTTTGACGCCACAGTGGCAAAGCTGTACAGAAAATAATACATTATTACAATGGATTTGGAACAACTGGTTAAAAACAAACTTACCGCCAAACTGGCCAATAATGTAACAACAAATAATTGCATGTTAATGTTAAGACTCTGTAAGGAAATTAATTTAAAAAATTTTAATTAATTAAATGTCAGTTTATTTTAATGTTAAAGTGCAGTAAAGTTTTATAGTACAAAAAAGTTTTAATTACTTTATCTATTGCATTTGTATTATCTTAAAGTTTAATTAATTTTAAGTGGAACATTTTAGGAATGTGGGAAATTAGCAACTTATACTTATCGCTTTTAAATGACATGTGCAAGATTTAACGAGTGCGAGATAATTAATCAAGTGCCTAATATTGCTTTAAACTTTATAAACTAAAAGAGTTTTGGAACTGAAGTAATAAGGAACTAGAACAGAACTAGAACTAGAATAGAACTAGAACAGAACTAGAACAGAACTAGAACAGAACTAAAACAGAACTAGAACAGAACTAGAACAGAACTAGAACAGAACTAGAACAGAACTAGAACAGAACTAGAACAGAACTAGAACAGAACTAGAACAGAAACAGAAATAGAACAGAATTAGAACAGAACAGAACAGAACTAGAACAGAACTAGAACAGAACTAGAACAAAACTAGAACAGAACTAGAACAGAACTAGAACAGAACTAGAACAGAACTAGAACAGAACTAGAACAGAACTAGAACAGAACTAGAACAGAACTAGAACAGAACTAGAACAGAACTAGAACAGAACTAGAACAGAACTAGAACAGAACTAGAACAGAACTAGAACAGAACTAGAACAGAACTAGAACAGAAGTAGAACAGAACTAGAACAGAACTAGAACAGAACTAGAACAGAACTAGAACAGAACTAGAACAGAACTAGATCATAACTAGAACAGAACTAGAACAGAACTAGAACAGAACTAGAACAAGAACAGAACTAAACAGAACATAACTAGAACAGAACTAGAACAGAACTAGAACAGAACTAGAAACAGAACTAAAACAGAACTAGAACAGAACTAGTACAGAACTAGAACAGAACTAGAACAGAACTAGAACAGAACTAGAACAGAACTAGAACAGAACTAGAACAGAACTAGAACAGAACTAGAACAGAACTAGAACAGAACTAGAACAGAACTAGAACAGAACTAGAACAGAACTAGAACAGAACTAGACAGAACTAGAACAGAACTAGAACAGAACTAGAACAGAACTAGAACAGAACTAGAACAGAACTAGAACAGAACTAGAACAGAACTAGAACAGAACTAGAACAGAACTAGAACAGAACTAGAACAGAACTAGAACAGAACTAGAACAGAACTAGAACTAGAACAGAACTAGAACAGAACTAGAACAGAACTAGAACAGAACTAGAACAGAACTAGAACAGAACTAGACTAGAACAGAACTAGAACAGAACTAGAACAGAACTAGAACAGAACTAGAACTAGAAACTAGAACTAGAACTAGAACTAGAACTAGAACAGAACTAGAACAGAACTAGAACAGAACTAGAACAGAACTAGAACAGAACTAGAACAGAACTAGAACAGAACTAGAACAGAACTAGGAACAGAACTAGAACAGAACTGGAACAGAACTAGAACAGAACTAGAACAGAACTAGAACAGAACTAGAACAGAACTAGAACAGAACTAGAACAGAACTAGAACAGAACTAGAACAGAACTAGAACAGAACTAGAACAGAACTAGAACAGAACTAGAACAACAGAACTAGAACAGAACTAGAACAGAACAGAACTAGAACAGAACTAGAACAGAACTAGAACAGAACTAGAACAGAACAGAACTAGAACAGAACTAGAACAGAACTAGAACAGAACTAGAACAGAACTAGAACAGAACTAGAACAGAACTAGAACAGAACTAGAACAGAACTAGAACAGAACAGAACTAGAACAGAACTAGAACAGAACTAGAACAGAACTAGAACAGAACTAGAACAGAACTAGAACAGAACTAGAACAGAACTAGAACAGAACAGAACTAGAACAGAACTAGAACAGAACAGAACTAGAACAGAACTAGAACAGAACTAGAACAGAACTAGAACAGAACTAGAACAGAACTAGAACAGAACTAGAACAGAACTAGAACAGAACTAGAACAGAACTAGAACAGAACTAGAACAGAACTAGAACAGAACTAGAACAGAACTAGAACAGAACTAGAACTAGAACAGAACTAGAACAGAACTAGAACAGAACTAGAACAGAACTAGAACAGAACTAGAACAGAACTAGAACAGAACTAGAACAGAACTAGAACAGAACTAGAACTAGAACTAGAACAGAACTAGAACAGAACTAGAATAGAACTAGAATAGAACTAGAATAGAACTAGAGCAGAACTAGCTAGAACAGAACTAGCTAGAACAGAACTAGAACAGAACTAGAACTAGAACAGAACTAGAACAGAACTAGAACAGAACTAGAACAGAACTAGAACAGAACTAGAACAGAACTAGAACAGAACTAGAACAGAACTAGAACAGAACTATAACAGAACTGGAACAGAACTAGAACAGAACTGGAACAGAACTAGAACAGAACTAGAACAGAACTAGAACAGAACTAGAACAGAACTAGAACAGAACTAGAACAGAACTAGAACAGAACTAGAACAGAACTAGAACAGAACTAGAACAGAACTAGAACAGAACTAGAACAGAACTAGAACAGAACTAGAACAGAACTAGAACAGAACTAGAACAGAACTAGAACAGAACTAGAACAGAACTAGAACAGAACTAGAACAGAACAGAACTAGAACAGAACTAGAACAGAACTAGAACAGAACTAGAACAGAACTAGAACAGAACTAGAACAGAACTAGAACAGAACAGAACTAGAACAGAACTAGAACAGAACTAGAACAGAACTAGAACAGAGCTAGAACAGAACTAAAACTAGAACAGAACTAGAACTGAACTAAACCAGAATTAAATTTGATTCTAGATCAAAACCTTTCTATTTTGGTTTATTTTGTCGCAATTTTTAATTTTTGGGAATTTGTTTCAAATTTAAGAGAGAAAGTTTCTATTTATAAATTCTGTTCAAATCTTAGAAACTGTATCTTAAGTACCAAATAATTGACTTACTTTCAAATGCTAAGCATACATTGCACTCTTTAGCTTATAAATAATTTATTATTGCAAAAAAAATTGAAGTCAATGTTTTTACGCGAAACCAAAAAAAAAATGTATAACAAAAGTTGATTAAACCAATAAATAAAACAAAATACAATACGAAAAATAAAAATAAAAAAGTTTTTTAAACCAAGTTTAGAACTTTATACAGAAATTCAATGTCATTTTAGACCTCAATGAGGTTTTAGTTGTTTCATACCATTTTTTGCAGAATAAACAAAATTAAGAATTTTAAACACGTGAATATTTTTGAAAAAAAAAATATAAACAAAAAGAGACACAACAAATAAATAAAATTAAATAAAAATGGTCAAGCTTGAATTGAATACCAATTATGGCCGTTAAAAATAAATCGTATTACGGCGATTAAAATCTGAAAAAAAATTAATAGCTTTTTGTGATTATAAAGTTAACAAATTATATTTAATTGAATTAATTTATATTAAACAATTTCTATGTAATTTTTTAAATGACTTTTATACAATAAACCTCAAGCCCCCTTTAGAAATTTATATGGAATTGAAGGTTCTTCCCCTCGGCTTAAAATTAAGAGGAAATTGTTTAAAAGGAATTGTTTTCAAAATGGAGTAATTAATTTTATATAAAATATAAATTATCTTTTTATGAGCTTGATTTACAATTTAATAAAATTTCTTCTTTTTACTTTCTTTTTATTAAAATAATCAATTTCATTTTTTTTCTCAATTGGCCTTTCATTAAGATTTCTTTTTTTTTTGAAAATTGATAAGATTGCCCTGCTACTGGTTTTAAATACAAATTTTCTTTTTTAATTTAAAGATAATAAATAGTTTTTTATTAATTTATGATCGTCAACTAAGACGTGTGTTTTCTTTTCATTTTAATCTTATCGATCGTTGAAATATCATAAATATTTAGAGAGCTATTGTAAATATTGTCAATGAATGAGTTTTCAATATTCTTCAATTACTTTAAAAAGAACTTGTTATTTCTGGAATTATGATTTTGCTGATTTTTGTCCAGAAAAGAGAGAGAGAGCTATTTAATTGATAAGCTGGGTTTTTCCTGGTATTTCTCAAAGTCCATCCAGTATTTTTCCTCAAATTTTCAATGATCTTTTACCGCAAGGATAAGGAAATTAAAATATGATAAGCTCTTAACGTTCATCTAAATTTTAGGATCGAAAAAGCCTTTTGCACTCTCTCTCACTACCTCTCAGCGCCATCTTAATATCCATATTTAAAAGATCGGAATTCTAGATAACAAGATAATATTAATAATTTATTGTCAGAGAGTGAAAGTTAAACTCTCTGGTAGGTTTTATTTCTTTTATACTGACGATCGTTGGAAATCTGATCTATCATGTTTTGATCTTTTATTTTGACCGATCTGTCATGTCTTGACGATTTATTCTGTCCGATCTTGTCTTGTATTATTATGTTTTTCTGTTGATCGTTTAAACTGATCATTTATTTAGCTGATCATATGAATTTTTATCATTTGAACTACAAACTATCATGACTTAATTATTTATTCAACTGATCGTATGAATTTTCAGCATTTGAACTACGATCTATCATGTACTGATCATTTACTTAGCTGATCGTATGTAATTTAATCATTAGAACTGTGATCTATCGTTTATTATCATGATAGTGTAGGCTACAGTCTGCTAAGTTTTGATCACTTATTCTGAGGATAAAGGAACTACAGTCTGTTATCTTACAAGGTCTTCCTGATCGTTTTTATTCCGTTTTCTTTATGTCTTAGTAATTTATATTGATGATATTTTCAACTACAATCTACTAGGACATGATGACTTATAGTAAATATCGTTTGAACTACCATCTGTTTACTAATGATCATTTATACTGATCATCGTTTAAACTACAATCTACAAGTTCTGGATGATCATTTGTATACCGATCTGTCATGTCTTGATGATTTATACTGATGATCTTTTCAACTACAATCTGCTAGGACATGATCGCTAATAGTAACTATCGTTTAAAGTACGATCTGTTAACTTGTGATCATTTTTGCTAATCGTCATTTAAACTAAAATCTGTCAGCTCTTAATGATCGTTTGTATTCGATGATCACTTATTTATTTATGCTGATCAATATTTAAACTACAATCTACAAGGTCTTAATGATTGTGATTGTATTCGATCGATCATATCTTGATAATTTATGCTGATGATCTTTTCAACTACAATCTGATAGGACATGATCACTAATAGTAACTATCGTTTAAAGTACGATCATTTATACGATCACGAGTTTAATTTATGCTGATCATCAATTAAACTAAATGATCTGCCAGCTCTTGATGATCGTTTGTATTCGATGATCACTTATAGTAACTATCGTTTAAAGTGCGATCTGTTAACTAATGATCATTTATACTGATCATCGTTTAACCGACAATCTACAGGATTTTGATGATCGTTTGTATTTCGATCTTTCATGTCTTGATGATTTATTTTGATAATATTTTTAAATACAATCTGTTGGTCACTTCTTCTAGTGATTGTTTGAACTCCAATCTGTCTTGGTTTAGCACTTATTGATTATTAACTCTGAAAAACGTTCTAACTGCGATCTCTTTTGTCATGATCATTTATTCAAAAAACCATTTGAACTGCTCTATCTGTCATGTATTGGTGAATTATTTTGACGATTGAATTTAAACTAAAATTTGTCATAATCTGATCATTTATTGTGATGACTTTTCATTTATTTTTTGAAGATCGTCATCTCATGTCATGTATTGATCATTTATTGTCGTAGTCCTTTAAACGAAAGATATGTCATGTCTTGATCACTTTTTCTGATCAATCTATCATGTCTGATGATCGTTTCAACTCCTACCTATCATATCTTGATCGTGTGAACAACAATCAAGACTTTTCATTTATTTTTTTGAAGATCATCATCTCATGTTCTATTTTGATCACATATGGCTTCATAAATTATTTTGATGATCGAGTTTGAACTAAAATTGATCAAGTCATGAGAACTTAAACAAAGAATATGCCACGTTTTGATAATCTGATGATCGTTTCAACTCCTACCTATCATACTTATCTTGTACAACAATCAAGATTTTTCATTTAGTTTTTAAAGATCGTCATCTTATGAAGATGGTGGTTCAATTTACGATCAAGTCTTAATCATTTATTTTGATGAGAATTTTAAGTACGATCTGTCCTATTTTGATCACATATGGCCTCATGAAAATTTATTATGATGATCGCTTAAACAAAAAATATGCCACATCTTGATCACTTTTTCTGATAGATCCAACATGTCTCTCTATCATATATTGATCAATTATTCCCGTGATCGTTTGAACAACAATAAAGACTTTTCATTTATTATTTGAAGATCGTTTATATTGATGAGAGTTGGAACTACGATCTGCCATTGTTTAATCATTTTTTCCGAAGATCGTTTGAACTCCGAACTGTCATGTTTTCATCATTATTCCAACAACGAACCTTTGATTTACTTATTCTAATGATCGTTTGAACTCCTATCTTTCATATAGTGATCGTTAGTTGTGATGATCGTTTTACTGTCAGGTTTTGCTAATTTATTCTGATGGTTTTCAAGTCTTGATCATTTATTTTGATGAAAATTTAAACTAAGATCTGTCATATTTTGATTATTTGTAACGAAGATCGTTTGAACTCCAAACTGTTCTATATTCATCACTTATTCTAATTATTGAACTCTAATATGTCACGCAGTGATCATTTATTCCACGCTGAATAACTTTTTAATTTCTCAATAGATCAGTTTTTGTTTCACTAGATCGTCGATCAGAAACTGTGATCAGTCCCACTGTCATTAAAAACAATAATAACAAAGTTATTATTTATTTGTTTTGTGAAAAATTATACTACAATTTTGTTATTGTTCTTTTTATTATTATCAACAATCTTTAAACAATTAAAATAAATTATGTAGAGAGAAACTTTACTTTTGCACATTAATGCATCACTAGTATATGATGAACTACTTTTTCAAAAAAATCACAAACAATTTAATAAAATTAACTAGAACAATTCTAGACATTAAATACTCAAAACCTAAAAAGTTTTAAAATTCTTTTAAAACTGTATTTGTTTTAAACATTTTTCGAAATTTTCACTTTTTTAAAGTTCAATTAAATTACGTTCACAATATGTATATAATTTATTCATCTTAATTAACACTTACGATCGTCAGTCTTAAAAACTCTTATAATTAAATCAAACTTGCGCTACTACGTACAAAGTGCGCCCACTGATCAACGCACAAAAACTGAATTTTTCTAAACAATCGATGTGTTATTTATACAAAATATACTAAAACTCAATCACATAAAACGATCGCACAATAGAACAAATATCACTGGGAGAGTTATCTCCATTTATGCTCTTGTAATGCTCTTTGCTTTTGATTGGTTTTCTATTGTATGGTAAAAACAACAAATAATTCTTTATTATCAATTGAAAATCTATTTAGAAAATATGAAAAGAAAAGATCGTTGATATTGGTAGAGTTCGTGAGAGAAAGATCATTTTCGTTCTCTGCGACTACCTGTTCGTTTTTTGTTTTTATTAAATTACTTTTTCTTGTTCTATTAGGTATTTGACATGTTGTAAATATTAATGGATAGATAAGTATGCTTTTAGTTCGAACAGGTAAAAATCATGACAATTTAATCCTCAGGAAGAAAGCTATGAAATAGTAAGGGTGTTCACTTATTCATTATAAAAGTGATCACAGATTTTCATTGTTTTGTCCCTAGCTCTTCTAGTTTAGCCAGAAAATGGACTTTTATGTTTTCACTCAAAAATCAAGTTTTCTTAGAAAATAAAAGTGATCACAGATTTTCATTGTTTTGGCCCTAGCTCTTCTAGTTTAGCCAGAAAATGGACTTTTATGTTTTCACTCAAAAATCGATTTTTCTTAGGAATTAAAAGTGATCACAGATTTTAATTGTTTTGGCCCTAGCTCTTCTAGTTTAGCCAGAAAACGGACCTTTAAGTTTTTACTCATTGTTTTGGCCCTAGCTCTTCTAGTTTGGCCAGAAAATGGACTTTTATGTTTTCACTCAAAAATCGAGTTTTCATAGGAATTAAGTGTGATCACAGATTTTCATTATTTTGGCCCTAGCTCTTCTAGTTTAGTCAGAAAATGGACTTTTATGTTTTCACTCAAAAAATCGAGTTTTCTTAGAATATAAAAGTGATCACAGATTTTCATTATTTTGGCCCTAGCTCTTCTAGTTTAGCCAGAAAATGGACTTTTATGTTTTCACTCAAAAATCGATTTTTCTTAGGAATTAAAAGTGATCACAGATTTTAATTGTTTTGGCCCTAGCTCTTCTAGTTTAGCCAGAAAATGGACTTTTATGTTTTCAATCAAAATCGAGTTTTCTTACAAAAAAAAAAATGATCACAGATTTTCATTGTTTTGGCCCTAGCTCTTCTAGTTTAGCCAGAAAATGGACTTTTATGTTTTCACTCAAAAATCGAGTTTTCTTAGGAATTAAATGTGATCACAGATTTTCATTGTTTTAGCCCTATCTCTTCTAGTTTAGCCAGAAAATGGACTTTTATGTTTTCACTCAAAAACCGAGTTTTCTTAGGAATTAAAAGTGATCACAGATTATCATTGTTTTGGCCCTAGCTCTTCTAGTTTAGCCAGAAAATGGACTTTTGTGTTTTCACTCAAAAATCAAGTTTTCTTAGAATATAAAAGTGATCACAGATTTTCATTGTTTTGGCCCTAGCTCTTCTAGTTTAGCCAGAAAATGGACTTTTATGTTTTCACTCAAAAATCGAGTTTTCTTAGGAATTAAAAGTGATCACAGATTTTAATTGTTTTGGCCCTAGCTTTTCTAGTTTAGTCAGAAAATGGACTTTTATGTTTTCACTCAAAAACTGAGTTTTCTTACGAATTAAAAGTGATCACAGATTTTCATTGTTTTGGCCCTAGCTCTTCTAGTTTGGCCAGAAAATGGACTTTTATGTTTTCACTCAAAACTCATTTTTCTTAGGAATTAAAAGTGATCACAGATTTTCGTTGTTTTGGCCCTAGCTCTTCTAGTTTAGCCAGAAAATGGACTTTTATGTTTTCACTCAAAAATCGAGTTTTCTTACAAAAAAAAATTGATCACAGATTTTCATTGTTTTGGCCCTAGCTCTTCTAGTTTAGCCAGAAAATGGACTTTTATGTTTTCACTAAAAAATCGAGTTTTCTTAGGAATTAAAAGTGATCACAGATTTTCATTGTTTTGGCCCTAGCTCTTCTAGTTTGGCCAGAAAATGGACTTTTATGTTCTCACTCAAAAATCGAGTTTTCTTCTAGTTTAGCCAGAAAATGGACTTTTATGTTTTCACTCAAAAATCGAGTTTTCTTAGAATTTAAAAGTGATCACAGATTTTAATTGTTTTTACCCTAGCTCTTCTAGTTTAGCCAGAAAATGGACTTTTATGTTTTCACTCAAAAATCAAGTTTTCTTAGAAAAAAAAAGTGATCACAGATTTTCATTGTTTTGGCCCTAGCTCTTCTAGTTTGGCCAGAAAGTGGACTTTTATGTTTTCACTCAAAAATCGAGTTTTCTTAGAATATAAAAGTGATCACAGGTTTTCATTGTTTTGGGCCTAGCTCTTCTAGTTTAGCCAGAAAATGGACTTTTATGTTTTCACTCAAAAATCGATTTTTCTTAGGAATTAAAAGTGATCACAGATTATCATTGTTTTGGCCCTAGCTCTTCTAGTTTAGCCAGAAAATGGACTTTTATTTTTTCACTCAAAAATCAAGTTTTCTTAGAATATAAAAGTGATCACAGATTTTCATTGTTTTGGGCCTAGCTCTTCTAGTTTAGCCAGAAAATGGACTTTTATGTTTTCACTCAAAAATCGATTTTTCTTAGGAATTAAAAGTGATCACAGATTATCATTGTTTTGGCCCTAGCTCTTCTAGTTTAGCCAGAAAATGGACTTTTATTTTTTCACTCAAAAATCAAGTTTTCTTAGAAAATAAAAGTGATCACAGATTATCATTGTTTTGGCCCTAGCTGTTCTAGTTTAGCCAGAAAATGGACTTTTATGTTTTCACTCAAAAACCGAGTTTTCTTAGGAATTAAAAGTGATCACAGATTATCATTGTTTTGGCCCTAGCTCTTCTAGTTTAGCCAGAAAATGGACTTTTATGTTTTCACTCAAAAACCGAGTTTTCTTAGAATATAAAAGTGATCACAGATTTTCATTGTTTTGGGCCTAGCTCTTCTAGTTTAGCCAGAAAATGGACTTTTATGTTTTCACTCAAAAATCGATTTTTCTTAGGAATTAAAAGTGATCACAGATTATCATTGTTTTGGCCCTAGCTCTTCTAGTTTAGCCAGAAAATGGACTTTTATTTTTTCACTCAAAAATCAAGTTTTCTTAGAAAATAAAAGTGATCACAGATTATCATTGTTTTGGCCCTAGCTGTTCTAGTTTAGCCAGAAAATGGACTTTTATGTTTTCACTCAAAAACCGAGTTTTCTTAGGAATTAAAAGTGATCACAGATTATCATTGTTTTGGCCCTAGCTCTTCTAGTTTGGCCAGAAAATGGACTTTTATGTTTTCACTCAAAAACTGAGTTTTCTTACGAATTAAAAGTGATCACAGATTTTCACTGTTTTGGCCCTAGCTCTTCTAGTTTGGCCAGAAAATGGACTTTTATGTTTTCACTCAAAAATCGAGTTTTCTTAGGAATTAAAAGTGATCACAGATTTTCATTGTTTTGGGCCTAGCTCTTCTAGTTTAGCCAGAAAATGGACTTTTATGTTTTCACTGAAAAATCGATTTTCTTAGAAAATAAAAGTGGTCACAGATTTTCATTGTTTTGGCCCTATCTCTTCTAGTTTAGCCAGAAAATGGACTTTTATGTTTTCACTCAAAAACCGAGTTTTCTTAGGAATTAAAAGTGATCACAGATTATCATTGTTTTGGCCCTAGCTCTTCTAGTTTAGCCAGAAAATGGACTTTTGTGTTTTCACTCAAAAATCAAGTTTTCTTAGAATATAAAAGTGATCACAGATTTTAATTGTTTTGGCCCTAGCTCTTCTAGTTTAGCCAGAAAATGGACTTTTATGTTTTCACTCAAAAAATCGAGTTTTCTTAGAATATAAAAGTGATCACAGATTTTCATTATTTTGGCCCTAGCTCTTCTAGTTTAGCCAGAAAATGGACTTTTATGTTTTCACTCAAAAATCGAGTTTTCTTAGGAATTAAATGTGATCACAGATTTTCATTGTTTTAGCCCTATCTCTTCTAGTTTAGCCAGAAAATGGACTTTTATGTTTTCACTCAAAAACCGAGTTTTCTTAGGAATTAAAAGTGATCACAGATTATCATTGTTTTGGCCCTAGCTCTTCTAGTTTAGCCAGAAAATGGACTTTTGTGTTTTCACTCAAAAATCAAGTTTTCTTAGAATATAAAAGTGATCACAGATTTTCATTGTTTTGGCCCTAGCTCTTCTAGTTTAGCCAGAAAATGGACTTTTATGTTTTCACTCAAAAATCGAGTTTTCTTAGGAATTAAAAGTGATCACAGATTTTAATTGTTTTGGCCCTAGCTTTTCTAGTTTAGTCAGAAAATGGACTTTTATGTTTTCACTCAAAAACTGAGTTTTCTTACGAATTAAAAGTGATCACAGATTTTCATTGTTTTGGCCCTAGCTCTTCTAGTTTGGCCAGAAAATGGACTTTTATGTTTTCACTCAAAACTCATTTTTCTTAGGAATTAAAAGTGATCACAGATTTTCGTTGTTTTGGCCCTAGCTCTTCTAGTTTAGCCAGAAAATGGACTTTTATGTTTTCACTCAAAAATCGAGTTTTCTTACAAAAAAAAATTGATCACAGATTTTCATTGTTTTGGCCCTAGCTCTTCTAGTTTAGCCAGAAAATGGACTTTTATGTTTTCACTAAAAAATCGAGTTTTCTTAGGAATTAAAAGTGATCACAGATTTTCATTGTTTTGGCCCTAGCTCTTCTAGTTTGGCCAGAAAATGGACTTTTATGTTCTCACTCAAAAATCGAGTTTTCTTCTAGTTTAGCCAGAAAATGGACTTTTATGTTTTCACTCAAAAATCGAGTTTTCTTAGAATTTAAAAGTGATCACAGATTTTAATTGTTTTTACCCTAGCTCTTCTAGTTTAGCCAGAAAATGGACTTTTATGTTTTCACTCAAAAATCAAGTTTTCTTAGAAAAAAAAAGTGATCACAGATTTTCATTGTTTTGGCCCTAGCTCTTCTAGTTTGGCCAGAA